TTACTAAAAAATATGATAGGTGTGTTTGGTTTGGTTGTTAAGAGCAACTAACAGTTATAACTATTAATTGATAATTGATAAAATAATTAATATTTATTACTTAACTGTTTGAAATTAATTTATAAATTAATGTTTTTAAGTATCTTAAATAACTATACACTAATAAAATTAAACAAACTAAATACATTTATAATATTTCATATAACCTTAACAATTATTTGTGTGATGATAACCTGGCCATGTTTTAGAGTCTTGTTCTTTGATATCATATCCAAGTTGCAAGTCAAGGTTTTTGGTCTTTGCTATTCCCACCAATCTTGTAAGTCAAGGTCTTTGCTCTTTGATATCATATCCAAATTGCAAGTCAGGTTTTTGGTCTTTGTTGTCCACGCCAATGTTGTAAGTCAAGGTCTTTGCCATCTATAATACGAACAATGTTTCCTTGGGTATTAAAATGAGACTTTATAGTTTTGTAATTTGTTTTTTTATTGTATATTTTATAATAATTAATAAAATAATGATCACCATAATACTAAAAAATTTATTTTTTCAGAGTTTCTTTTGAGTGTCTCCGATATTCATTCTATTATTCCTTTTCAGATTTAAAAAAATACCCTTCTCCAAAGTATTAATTAGCTTGGTGGCTAGAACATAAATTAATAGAAAAATTTCCTAATTGTACATTGAAGGTTAATGCTAAGTCAAGAAGTCTCATCAAAAAAATTATGTACATGAGAGTTACTGCTAAGTCAATAAGTCTCATCGAAAAAATTAACAGCGAAAGCTGATACGAAGATCAAGGTCCCTTAACATAATTGCTTTTCTTTCTTTCCTTTTTTTTTTTTTAACAACGTTTAGAAATTGAGGAAGGAGGAATCACAATGCAAAGGATAAAACCACTGGCATGATCATATATTAGTGCATTTCCACCATTAATTACCACTGCATAACATAGAATAACATAATTGTTTTTATATGTCGTATTTGAAGGGAATGTTTAATAATTTGACAATAACTATCACAATAATATAGTATTTATGACTTTTCTAAATTAGTGGATCATAACCATCTCCATCAATAATAGAATACATGTTTACGTTTAGTTTAAGTTCTAAGTCAATGTCATCCCGGTTCATAAAATGAAATACAAATGCCAATAGTATGTTTGGTTTTATAAAAGGATATTGATCAATACATCCAACAATTCAACACACTATACAACATACTCATTAAAAATCATTATATTTTAATATAAAATTAAAGATAAACAAACTTAAAAATATAGTCATGCAAATAAAAAGTAAAAACTGACTAAATCAACTGTACTTATATTATATTTTTAATAGTTGAACCGGATAAGTATTAAAAAGTGTGTTTGGTTTGGCGATTAGGAGCAATTGGTAACTGTAACTATTAATTGATAACTGATAGAATAATTAATATTTATTATTTATCTATTTGAAATCATTTTATAAACTAATGTTTTCAAACACCCTAACTGACTATAGACTAATAAAATTGGAAAATCAAACATATTTGTAATATTTTGTGTGACCTTAACAATTGTTTGTGCGGCCATAACCTTGGCCATGTTTAGGGTCT